CTCGGCTCTGTCACACCCTCAAAATTTAGTGATTGGCTAGGTTTAAAAATCTGGAGCATCCGAATTACGTATTCCGCCAATCTTTTTCCTCATTGCAAGGCTTCTTGGCATTCTGACTTCTAACGGTATCCTGTCAGAATTTGATAGATTGCGAAGCGTTGCTTGGGCTATTTAACATCTCGCTTTCCAAAGTTATAGCTTGTACCAGTAAAATTTTATTGCCTTAACTAAAAGATTTCTTGCAGTTACTTTTTCGCGTAATATTTCTAAAGGTTTACAAGCCTCTTCCTGGCCTATTGTTCATGTATGAGAAGGACGCTAACTCCTCTACATGTAAGAACAGACCTATGTCTCCATACTTGTTCTTTGCATTCAACAATCAAACACTAAATTAATAAATTAAATTACATTGAAATTACAAGTAGGCTTCTTGGCAGTGGAACGGTTACACATCCCACCCGCCGTTTTATACTTGGCCTATCCTCTCCTAACTAACATTTTATACTTGGTTATCCTTCCATACCTTGACTCTACTCCTCCGTGGACGTGTGTAGTCTTGATGGGAATGGGAACAGTAGATGTAGTGGGATGCATGTGTTTGCCATATCCATCCTGTTCGACCTGGTGTGTTGTTTGGCCGTGAGCTGCAATCGAAGATGGTTTCATGCGTTTGGATGGTCTGTCTTCTTGGGGTTCATGCATCTTTGATTTCTCCAGCTCTTGAAACAACGTCGGGTGAATCCTGTAACAAGAGCTGGATTTGAAGTTGCTGAAGTTTATCGAATTGCGCGTTCGAATATGGCTTAGAAGTCTCGGAGATGGGAAGGGAAGCGAGAAGTGAAATATACTCGTCGTGGATGTGTTGTAGATGGTGCAGGAAAAGAGCGTATAGGTCGTGCTTGGTGATTATTGATGGAGGCTGAGGGATGGTTCCAGTTCTGTCGACGAAGCTCGATATTTGAGTGGTTATATCATATTGGAAGAGCCGCTGTTTGAGTGGAGAGACGTCATCGGCGGAAACCCAATTCCATATTGGTTGATTTGTAGAGATGAAAACGGGTAACCGGTAGATGATTTCCTTGTCGGAATGCTTCATGTCGGTAGGGATGGGCGATCCCTCCAACAGAAGTTTCCAAGTTCCGATGGTGGTCTGGTCAATGATGGGCTCTTCGAATAGGACGGCCGTGCTGTTGGGGAGTTGATCGAGGTGGAAGTTCGACTTGTCTCTTTCTCTGGCGATCCTCGTGGGTTTGGTGTCTGACAGGAGAAGGTTGAGGATGAGCGATTTGCCCGTGTTTGTGGGACCTTGAATAACGAAAGTATTGATTTTAGTGATGTTGGTGGAATGTATGATGAGAAATTTTGCGAAGAATTCTTCGATCGGGATAGCGTTTGATGCGAAAAGGCGGGTTAACCACGTGACGTTAGGATGTTGGACCAAGGAGAGGTCAAATGAGTCTGCGATGAGCTGATAATAGTGCTTGGTTTTGATGGTTTGAAGGGCCTCGATAGTATGGATCTTGATCAGAGTTTTAATGATGTTTTGCCCGACATAGCCGAGCTGTTTGAGTAGTTGGATTTTGGTTTCGGTGGGAAGTGTTCTTTGAAAGGATTCATAGGATGTAATTTTGTTTTCGGTGATGAGGGAACTGATATAATCATTGGAGAAGGTTCTTTGTGTGACGGTTTCTTTGGATGCCTGCTTTTTTTGTTCGACGTACTGTTCGCAGGCGAGGTGTGATGTGGATGGTTGGTCGGTAGTATCATAGTGGAGTAGGGCGTCGGTGAGTGGTTTCAGGATGGGGATAACTCGAGATCCATATTTATAGAATGTTCCGAGACCCTTGCGGATGAGATACGAAATGAATCGGGTGATGTATCGGATGAGTTGTAGAGACGAATGAGCCTCTGCAATTCCCTCAAAGTTGACCTTAAGGAATTTAAGGATGGTTGTGAGGTGGCGGGAGGAGTTGTTGGAGTGGTTGACGGTGAAGATGATGTGAATGTGGTCCCCGTGGTCAAACGCTGCGAAGGATGGGGATCGGCGTGTTGTTGGGGGGAGGGCGTCGAATGTACGGCGGTGGGGGATGAAGGTGTAGGATGATGAATTATTTGAGGAATCGCTTCCGTCGTGATGGTCTGATCCAACGAATGAGGAAGTATCGCTGGACGGTGGTGTTGAAAGAGAAGTCAAAGTTGAAGGTCCTGGATGTCCTGTGTTGACATTTGTTGTTCTTTTTGTAGGTGATGTTTTTGCTCTTTTGACATCAGAAGGGCTGATATCACATCGTCTCCGAATGGCGTGTCGTATGCGATTGGAGGTTGTTTGTCGTTCTCTTCCTGGATCATCGTTGTCGTGGGTTTTATTTGAAGCACATCCATCGCTCTCGAGAATATTTTCTGCCTGAGTATTCTGGATGACGTGTTCGTGAGACAAAGGATGTATGTTGGTGTCGGTTGGTGAGAGTTGAGGACTTCGAATAGTTGAAGATGTGATGTTAGGGTTGATAGGGGTTCGGGAGCCGAGATCAGTTGATGGTTGTCGTTGATGTAGTCCGAGTACATGGATAGGGCTGTTGGGGATATCGGCGTTTCCGTCGTTCTGAAGAGGAAGTATCTCCGGGGAGGTAGATGTATGGTTTTCCCGGTCGGGGTGGTGAAAGCTGGCCAGGATGTTTTTTGTGTAGTCTGGTTGGTCCGTATTAGTGTCATTGGTGTGTCGGATAACGCTTACCCGAGGAGGGCCAGTTGGATGTTGGTTTTGAAGTTCTAAGAGTAGGTTCTCTGGGCGTTCCTCTTCTTCCTCCCACTCGTCCTTTATGTTGAATAATACTCCGTCGAGTATCTGCTGGTAGATGTGTTGAGCGCAGAGATCACTTGTAGGACACTGTGCAGAGTACAGCCAGCACTCGTGGCAGTTACAGAATGCTCTGAAGTGAACGCAAGCTGTATGTTGAGACATAATGGTGGTGAAGGATTGTGTTGGCTGTTATATGTATGAAATTGTTATCTCGAGGTCGCGGATTATCGGTTGCGCGTGCTTAAGTTCAGTTTGGGTTATCGGCACTTAAGAGGAATAATGCGTGCACGACATCCCGTCGTGAAAGCTTTTGTATAAGTGACTACATCCCATCGGTTGGTTAAGAAAGGATGGGATAAGAGGGAGAAAGATTTTAATAAAGTGATGGGATGTTAATATTTGATATCGTATAAAAGAGGAGGTCCTAAGTGTCTATCATCTGTCCCATCCCACCCGCCGTTTTATACTTGGCCTATCCTCTCCTAACTAACATTTTATACTTGGTTATCCTTCCATACCTTGACTCTACTCCTTCGAAATTCGATTCCAACGCGCCTTGCGGCTCGACCGTGCGTCGTTTTTTTTTTACGTGGTATCCCCAGTAGGCCTAGTCCACGTGGATGGGAAGGATATGATGTTTAGTATAAAGTATCTGAGTGACCCTACCGGAAGTCCTACCCACCAAGAGTGCCAGAAATTCCAAATCGCCTACCAGGTTCAGGTCATAGACCTCCTGGGCCCGAATGAGGAACTGCAGCACGGTCTCGGGGTCAGTACCGGACAACACCGGGATATTCTTCACCAAATCATTAACCACCCTTCCCCTCATCTTAGCCTGCACATATGGAACCTGGCCAGGGATGCCGGCATTTACAGTAACATTAGCACCCGATGCCGCAGCATCCATATCCGGTTCAGACTTAGCTGTAAACTGAGAAGGCAGGTGTACCTCCAGTAAACTCCACTTCTCCTTCAATTTCCTCCGCAAGTCGTCTAAGGTCCCGTCCACAGAGACGCCCAATTCACTCGCCAGACGTTCGGCTTGTTGCTTTGACAGGGAATGGATCCAGGCCGTCGGCATGATGTCATGAAAATCAAAACGCAGTATGAGTAAATAATACTAAGTACAATTCAGTACTGCAAAAAAAAAAGGAACCCACTATGTACCAAACTATCACTGGGAGTACCTCAAACTCTCACTGGAAGTACCTGAGTAAAAACCACGCTCTGCTACCATTTGCACCATCCAGGGGGGTGTGTGTCCGTTACGCCAGCTCACTGGAAGCCGGGATCTCTCCCTAGTCTTATAGTTTGG